AAATCGAATTTCGTTCTCCAGTATGTTCGACCTTTCACTCATAGAGACAGGAGCGGATTGGCCTATCGGGATACCGGGACTTGTCCCGGTGGGCCGATAGTCCAACTCAATTTTGGGCCGATCTACATAAAATTGTCCCGGTGGGCCGATAGTCCAACTCAATTTTGGGCCGATCTACATAAAAGTATTGCTCAATGCTAAAAATAAAAAAAATTGACAAGTCAAGGAAACATGTAATTAACGAAATCACGTTATATAACTGAACTTCATGAGAGGTAAAAGCTATATGTTTTTATTTTTCAAATAGGCCATTTATTAAAATGACAATATCACATGAAAAGCATCCTTTCATGTAGCAGAAACAAAACAATGCGGAACAGGAACGTCGCGTGAGAGTTTTGAGAGCGGTAAATCATCGGAATAAAAAGTTTAACAGAAAACCTGTCCAGGGCCACTCTGTGATCACAGTCCCGGGCCGCTTAGCCATCCCAATCCGCCCCTGACAAACACCAACAGTACGTGTAGTCACATTATGTTTTAAAACATATCTTTCACTTGATGTCCTTGCAAAGTAATGAGCTTCGTAGTCCAGAGAATAGCTTAAAGTGCAAGTGTTCATATACCTCACACACCCATGCTTTCGGGTGTTATGACAAATGACGAGGAAGTATTCTCTTGTTCATTTCAAAGTTATTGCAAATAGCCAAAGATTCCCTTGTCAAGCGTACATAATTATCGATCTATTCCGTGGTAGAGTTCAACTGAGATGTTTTTAAAACAATATAACTTGGAAAAATGGATGTGGCTATTCGCTGAGGCTGCACTTAGCTGAGCCTTTTCTTATCTCTCATACAGTCAACTCGACATAGCTCTAACCAGGTTACGATTGTTCGACCGGTTAAAAATATATGCCCCTGTGGTGCAAGTATTGATTACAAGGAAGTTTTGTAAAGTTTTTCCAATACGAATTCGATAATCTTTAGTTTTGAAACTTAGTTTGAAATATCACATCTCTGTATATTTTGTCGAATTTAGACACATTCTTCCATTTTGCTGACCCCAGTGGTTCAATGGTAATTTTGCAGGATTACAATACAAAATATTGAGGTTCGATACTCGTAGTGGGGAAAGCACAGATAGGCCACTACGTATCCTTGCGCTTAATAACAACCAACCAATACGCCATAACGAAGCAAAAAACATCGCATGTTCGCTAAAAGAATGCATGTAAAAACTGAAAGTAACTTAATTCTTGAATTGAAATAATGCGTGAAAAACATTCCCTGTTTTGATAATGGTGTAAAGGTGTAGTATAATATTGCTTAATAAGAAAAAAATTCTTATACACCCACCCAAATTGTTCCTGGTAATGTCATAATAAATTATTTTTGAGCCTAATGTTTCTTTATAATTAAGCACAAAGCTACACAATGGGCTATCTGTGCTCTGCCCACCACGGGTATCGAAACCTGGATTCTAGCGTTGTAAGTCCGCAGACATACCGCTGTGCCACTGGGGGGCGGGCCTAATGTGTCATGACAAATAAACATGTAATAAAGATATACAATTAGTGTTTTGTGGAATCGGCATTTTACTGATTCATAAAATAATAAATTGTTGGCTCACTTCGCACTGCACCCCAGTGGCACAACGGTGTGTTTGCGGACTTACAACGCTAGAAACTGGGTTTCGATACCCGTGGTGGGCAGAGCACAGATAGCCCAATGTTTAGCTTTGTGCTTAACTTCAAACAAACATTTCGCACTAAAATACTGTTGCATACAAAACAATGATTTTACATCCATGATAATTTTATTAAGAAGTTAAAATGACACGTGATGTGAAGTTTACTATCCCTTTGTACAGCGAAGATGCACCTGAAATATTCACGTGCTTGATTGCCTAAAAGTAGCTGTGTTAGAGCTGTTCACCATTACGTGACTGATCAGTCGACTTGTATTCATATAAGATCGTAAATTATCCCAAGAACTAAGTTTATGTGTCTTATGTCAGTATGTACCTATTAGTAATCTCACTAATCGCTGTTATATTTAGTATTTTTTGAATAATAATATGTAATGAAGTACATCATTACTTAGACAACATAATGCTCTTCTAGGAATAGTTTAACAAGACCTACCAACTTTCAGGAAACTGTTTGAGTGAGACTTATGAAAAAAAGTGAAATTTTAGCGCACCATAAAGTGCTACATGCTCCGAAGACTATTTCTTTGTAGAGCGGTGTGGAGCCACGCTACCCTAGAATATATATATATTATTATCCAATGAAGTAAATGATGCCTTTCCTAGATGAAAGTAACGCTGAACTGGCTTGGATCCATCCACTCAAACAACCACAACACATTATAGAAAGCTTCCAATTCGACAAAAACTCGGTATATTTTTTCTAATGCGTGTGAGCGTGAGAACAAGTCCAGTAGTGAATCTAACGCTCAATGCGCGAGTGTTGGTAGCTCTGTTAAGACACTTTCAAATGACGTTTTTATATTACCTTTAAAACACACACACGAATAGTTCTAGCCACAGACATACATGATGTTTCGGTTAATTGAATCATATTTTCTTTTGGAAAGAACATTACTCTGGGCAATAACAAGAGTAACCA